AATGTGGATCAAGATTCTTTCTTATCTTCATCACTCTCACACAAAGAAAAAAAAAATCCCAATCCTCAAAAAAAAATGACTCGACCGTCAAGATTCCTCGGAACGGCGACGGCGACGCCACCGCAACCGTCGGAGCAGATGCTCGCGGCGGAATCCGACATGGTTGTGATCTTGTCGGCTCTTCTTTGCGCACTCATATGCGTAGCCGGTCTCGCTGCCGTTGTACGTTGCGCTTGTCTCCGGCGATTTACCGCCGGAGGAGATTCCCCGACGCCGTCGGCAAATAAAGGTTTGAAAAAGAAAGCTCTTCAGTCTCTTCCAAGATCAACTTTCACCGCCGGTGAGTCAACCTCCGGCACCGCCGCGGAAGACGGCGGTGATTCGACGGAGTGTGCGATTTGTCTAACTGATTTCGCCGACGGAGAAGAAATCAGAGTCCTTCCTCTATGTGGCCATTCGTTCCACGTGGCGTGTATTGACAAATGGTTGGTTTCTAGGTCTTCTTGTCCTTCTTGTCGCCGGATTCTTACTCCGGTGAGATGTGACCGGTGCGGTCATGCTTCCACGGCGGAGAGTCAAATGAAAGATCATCAACATCATCACCAACACTCTTCGCACCTCACTTCCTCTGTTCCTACGTTTCTTCCTTAAACACTAATTTTTGTTTTTACCGGAATAATTAATTCGAAAAGTATGTAAAGTGAGTCTTCATTAGGAATTATAGATCTTGGGGTTTTTTTTTTGGGGGGGTCTTTTTTTTCTTGTAATCCACTGTGATTAATCTATTAGATGGAGTTCTAAGTCCGAGATGTGTAATTCTTAACTCCAAAAATCTAATTTACAAGAAGAGTATATTATTATTTTTTTGAACAAGAAGAAGAGTATATTGAACATTTGAAAAGTTGTTTAGCAAAAAAAAAAAAACATTTGAAAAGTAAAAAAAATGTCGTTCCACAATTTTCACAAAATTGAAAAACTATTAAATTTTGTTCTGCGTTTTTTTTTTTGTTTCATCTAAATTTTGTTCTACGTATTTTTTTTCATCTAAATTTTCAGTTAATTCATCATGTTTAAGCTTTCGAGTTACAACTGAGCCCGGTAAAGAATAAGACTCTTTCAGGGAGAGAGCCAGCGGGTTTATAAATCTCCTAAAAACAAAAACTTAGACAAGAAAATGTACAAAGATAATACCCCAAACTACAACACTTAAAATTAACAACTAACGAGTAGCCGAGCAAGCACTGTAGCGGAAGGCCATCCCACCGGACTCCCATACATCTTTACAAAGAAAAGTCGAGTGAACGCAAACGACTTGACCACTTGAAAAAAACTGAAGGAAGAGAGACTCTAGCTTTAGAGCTACGCGAGGTACTGCCCCGAAATCAGCCTCTTTCACATTAAAGAATCAAGTCATATAGGTCGGCTATCCATGTAGAAATATACCGTAGAGAGGACAAACGCATAGCTTAAAAATCATATTCCTTTTCTTGCAAATTTGGAGGAGGAAGGCAATGCGGAAGCTTAATAGACGCGTCAAAAAATGAAGGAAGCAAAGCCAATCCGATAATAAGACCCGATACATTTCACTGAAACCACAACAACGAGCCATATCGAGAATCCACGAACCAACCAACACCACCGAACCAGAGGAGAACAAAATCTAGGCCTAGAGCTGAAGAAAGGTAATCAGATTCGTAGCGAAAGCAGCTATGTCGCACTGCCAAGAGACTTTAAAAATCAATTCATCTAGCGCTCCTGATTCGACGGACCACAACTCTGTGATCTAGATTCAAAACCCCATGGAAATAGAACCGGATCCAAATTAAACATATTTCAAACTCTAGGATTTGAAGCGAAAACTGCGAACCAAGAATAAGCCTCAAACCACTGTAAACAAGCCTAAATGGATACACAAACCACGAAGACCAAAATCCTAATAAAGGCGACGTCGATGCACCTCTCGAAACATGCTCGAAACTACAAAAACAAAAGGAAAACGCATCCAACTAAGGAGGAGAAGCCAAGTCCAATCTAAAATTTTAGATGAAGAAAAATCATATATGAAATCTCCTTCTAGAAAGGCGAACTGATAAGCATAAGAAAAAAAAGCGAAAAATATAAAGACAAAGCCACAACTCCGGCATGATCAGAGCCGCCGAAGCTATATAGAAACAAATGGTGAAGAATTTTTGTGTGTTTTTTGATAAAAAGATTGTGAGTTTTTTCCTAAGGGCAATTGGCAAATTTGACCAAAAAAGATAATTCATCATCTAACCAAGACAATCTAATAATGTGTAATGTGTAAGTGAGACGAGACTTACCCCTTCCATTAAACAGCTACTTACAAAAAATTACTTTCTGCTTAATGGAGGGGGACAAAATCATCAT